ACAGCAGCGGCGGCTTCGGCCTGCGAAGTACAGTTCAGCTGGCCCAATGCTAAGTGAATCGGGCGATATGCTCCACACCATTTCCCTCTTGTCTCACTTCTCCAAGCGAGTCTACCGTGTGCAACCAGCACGCACACTGGTTGCACACGTCATGCAATGGCTTGCAGTGCAATCTGCCCTCATCCTGCCTGCAGTGGATCGGCCAGAAGCGACGCCAGCTTCTGGGCTGCAGGCACGTTCGAGAGCCTGGGAGCTTCTGCTACCAACTGCAAACCAGCACAGCCAGTCAGTACGTCTCCAACGGGCGATGGATCAAAGTGGCAAAGGCAGAAAAGCCTCACTGGAGGCGTTGTGGCGGTGGTGGTGTCACTGAAAGTTGCAGTCGGAGTCGGAGCGTGGAAGTAGGACAGTGGTGGTGGTGGTGGTGGTGGTGGTGGTGGTGTTGGGTTTGTGGTGGCTCGTGGTCGTTCTATGAATACTACGGCTCAACGACGACAACGGACAACGGAAGACAACTGCAACAACGACGACGAGAAGACTACTACTACTACTACTACTACTACTACTACTACTGCTACTACTGCTACTACTACTACTACTACTACTATACTACCACTACTACACAGCAGCAGTAGTTTGGTGGTGGATGTGGCACTTGTGCATAGCATCGGAGGAAGTTGTTGTGGTGTGGAGATTTTCTGGCTCCTCGCCATGCTAGAAGAAGCGGCAGCAACAGGGGGGAGCAGCAGTAGTGCCCGTGGAGGCCGTGCTGAAGTACTAACAGTACTAACAGTCGACAGCAATGCCTTAAGCAATCAACAGCATTGCCAGGGAAACTGACCAGCAGCAACAGCGACGACAGCAACAGCAGCTGCGACGACAATAATCATATGATGATGTCATGACGACAACGACAACAGCGAAGATGACAGCAATGACAGGAACAAGACCAAGAACACGAATCGGAAAGCTACAATACAAGCAACAAGAAATTCCCACCTCTGCGGCTCCAGCATTGGAAGCAGGGAGCGCAGCAAAGCGGTGTTCAGAGAAACCTGATCAGATGGCTTCAGATTCAGACTGAGCATGACGGAGCATGTGGTTCTCGTCTCGATTCGGGACAGGTTTCAAGGGTTCTTTGCCGTTCTGAGGATCTTACCACCTCGGGGTCCATGATGGGATCTCCAGTGTTCAGAGGCTTCAACACGGAAAGAAGGCCATCAACACCGCTTCACGGCCAGATTGCATTGGCGAGAAAGAAGCAAGCAGCAAACGAATAACCGTATGCACCAACCACACCCACACCACTCAGATCACTAGCTATGCAGACCGAAGCAACAATGGCACTGAGATTTTTCTTCAGTTCAGCGGTACGGTACAAGTAGCAAGTGTGAAGTTGATAATACCAACCAAGACTATCGATACTTCCGAGGAGCCAGCAAACCCTACTCAGACAAAAAAAGCATCAAAACCCGGGGAGAGCCTGTTGGATCAATCCTTCAAGAGCCGAGGAATTGTTCGCCGGCGGCTCCACGTTGCCTCTGTACAGGTGAGCGGGCTCTCAAGGCATCAACCCATGACCACAGATCGACCCATGATTGTTCTCTTCTCCCGACAGCATGGCGAAGGGTTTTTGCGTGGAGGTGGTTTGGATGGAAAGATGTGGTGGTGCTGTCGACGTGAGGTTCTCTCTGATGTTGTAGTTGTGAGGTTGCATGGCGTGAGGTTGTGTTGCACAAGGCTTTTCGCGAGGTCGCGAGGTTGCCTCTTCTAGCCTAGTATAGTCATATCCGCATGGGCAGATCTAGCAGGAGTCGCCGTGCACCGACGATTCGATTTGGCAACCCTTGCCTGATGCCAGCGTGCTCGGTCATTGAAAATGGCGCCACGCATGCGGTGCTGTGCGATTCGTGTTCCGATATGAAAACCATCGCCATGGAGAGGACGTCGCTGAGTCGCGCCCGTAAGTGGGGGAAGCGTTTGGCCATGCCCCTGAATCCCGCCACTGCGCTGTGGGGCCACGTTCACGTTGCACTGCGCATGTGTTGCCACGACGATTCGAGTTCGGAAGTCACGCAAGGCGTCCCCGTCCTCCGGTAAGCGTGACCCATTGCAAATTCCACTACATGGGCCCCATGTTGGCCTCGAAATGACAACCCTCAGGTTGGAAGCGGCGCGTCCGGGCGTAAGCCGCGAAATCAGCACTTGGGTGAAGACGATTGATCAGGTTTGGCAATCCCGCCAGTACTTGGAGGAATTGTGGCCATGTCATGCCATGTCCGCGAATCCCGCCAGTACTGGTCATTTTTCCGAATCCGCCTCAAAGCATTGTGGTCATGTGTGTGGTCATGTCTCTATATCCGCTAGTACATAGGGGCAAGCTGTTCGGCCGTGGTCCTGGATCCCGCCAGTACGTTGGGGGAAACATGACCAGGGTCTGGAGGAGGGCACAAGAGCTTGTAGAAATAAGCTACATAATTTTACATAATGCTTTATGGAAGGGCTTACGGATTCGTTATGAAGGGTCCCGAAGGTTTTACAGTCCAGGGATTGCGTGGATGGATGGATGGATGGATGGAATCCTGTTAGGTGATACTCCGGTTTTAGCTCGCTGGTTAGACTTGCGGCACAGTACTGTATTCATTCAGGACAACTCCCGGTGCCGCGAACGTGGCTGCTTCGGCTGACATTGCTGTGCTGACCACCCCGAATTGCTGCTTTGTTCTGCCGGTTGCGATGTACTGACTGAGTTCGGCTGCTATCGCCAATGCTCCCGTTCCTTATACCACTGTGCTCACCATGCAGGCTGCAAATTACGAAAAGATGCCGTTGTGTCTGATTGCTGCTACGGATGACACGACGACGACGACGACTGCTAACTCCTACTGCTGCCAAGGTAGGGACAGTTTGAGCTGTAGGAGCAGAAGTAGTAGTAGTAGCAGTAGCAGTAGTAGTAGTAGTAGTAGTAGTAGTAGTAGTAGTAGCACTAGCAGGAGTAGGAGACGCACCCGTAGTACTAGTTGCGACAGAAGTACTAGTAGTAGTAGTAGTAGTAGTAGCAGCAGCAGCAGGAGTAGTAGTAGTAGTAGTAGTAGTAGCAGTAGCACCGGTAGCAGTAGCAGCAGTTGTAGCAGCAGTCGCAGGAGCAAAAGCAGGAGTAGTAGTACTGGTAGTAACCAGTACTACGAATAGTGACAGTAGTCGTAGTAGTAGTAGTAGTAGTAGTAGCAGCAGTAGTAGTAGTAGTAGTAGTAGTAGGAGTAGGAGTAGGAGTAGGAGTAGGAGTAGGAGTAGGAGGAGTAGGAGCAGTCGTTGTTGTTGTAGTAGTGGTAGCAGGAGGTGGTTGTCTTCGTAGCTGTAGTTCTTAATAGGAGGAGGAGGAGGAGGAGGAGGACCGCAACACTACCAAAACAAGGAAATACTGTAACTTGTAACAAGTCCATGAGATTAATGCCATCAGAGACCCAGCGAGGCACCTGCGACGAGTCCGGGAGGCATCGAGGACTGTGCTGGTCTCACATAACCTGCGCCGGGCCAGGATCCACCGGCAAACAGAACACGAACAAAGGCTACTTCCACCTCCAACAAATTTGACGGGACTTTCAGTTGCCTCTTCTGCAGCAGTGGCCAAGTGCAGCGGTCACAGCTCTAGAGCATGTGTGAAGCTCGGAACCTACAGCATCGCCAACGTTCCTTTTGCCTGCAATCCAAGCAGGACGAACTGATCTGGTCTGTGAGACTGGCAGCTTGCAGGTGGACAGTGCAAAGATGCGCAAGCGGTGTAAATGATTGTTGTGAAGGGCGGCTTGATGTTGAAAGTCCGGGAAAGCTGGACAGCCACCATGGTTATGCCAATGGCAATGGAAATATAGCTGGGGCATGGCGGCAAATCAGTGCATCACGTCCGTGCCATGTTCACCGAGGGCCGCGTGAGTGAAAACTTCTTAACACATGACTTCGTACAGGCCACTATTGAAGAGTCCACGCAGTCATGCTCCATCTTGAAGAACCAATGAGGATATGTCAGACAACTGGGCGATGGTCGCTAGGCGCATGCTGCCGGAGCAGTAGGGCAGAGCCCGACCCTACTGGTGCCCGGCTGGCCACAACCGCGAGGTACAAGCGTCGCAACAAACGCATGTGCACCAGTATTCTACATGGGTTATGACTCAAACCGATTCATCGTCCGACTTTCCTGCACCACTTTCAAGCAGGCGCTCTGACCAATTTTTTAACGTTACCACCAGATCATCCCACTTGCGAAAACCCGCTCTGTGTGTGTGATGAGACCTGAAGTACTTAGAACCGAGCCGGCATCAAATCGCTGTTGACTGTCTAGTAAGCCTCTCAGAAGTCGGCTCAGTGACTCATCTTGAACTCCGGTTCAGCCAAGCCCTGACCAGGCCCCAAAGCCGAAAGCAGCCGAAGACGATCCCCCGGCCACAGAAACTTCGCAAGGGCGGGCAAACCAAGTGGACGCCGAGGCTTCCGGGAGCTACACTAGAGCTACCACTAGCGTCTTTTGTGAATGTGGCCGTCGATGACTTGAGAGGGACTATGCATCAACGCCTCACTTGAGGTCTTGCCGCCCGATCTTGGTGCGAACCACCATGAAACAAATCAATCTGAACGAACCTGTGCAGCAAGAGGCCAGTGACACCAAGTCTTTGCACAACCATCGCGGATCTTCAACGAACTGGTTTTACCGACACTTACTGGCAAAGACAAAAGGCATATGTCATCTTGCTCCTGCTTCAGCTTCCTAGCCTCGAAGAAGCTGTCGTGCCAGCTCAACCCAACCCCGAAGAGCAACCTCCTCTGACAACAAGCTGCTCTGTGCAGCAATCGGTAGAGCCCTAAACCTGGGTTTTGCGATGATCGTGGCCTCGGAACACTGGCTTTGCCGCGACTGCAGGACCACTCGCATGCTCTAATGGAGAACAGGCAGAAGAGTGCCAGGATACATGGGGGTTATCTTGGATAGGGGGTCGGGACCGGGCTCACTCTTTCAGGTATTTGTCGATGGACTTGTCCTGCGGTGAGCCCATCAACACGCCCGCATGTACAGCAACCTTGAGCTACTTACTGCAACAACATCGCCACAACTTTCTGCCGGAAGTGTCCTGGCCCAAAGTACGGCGTTCTTCCTCGACTGGGTAGATCAAGCCGTTCTTCGAGGAGGCAAGTTTGAGGAAGTCCTGAACCGAGATTGCTTGTGTTCTGACGGATTGCGATCTGGTTTAGGGCCTGCGGCCTACGAGTTCACACTGGCACTTCACCTCCCCAGATGTCTCCCTGCAGCAACCTCGTATCCGATAGCAGCGCCGTCTCTCGGTAGTTGGAGGTAGTCGAAGATCTGGCACACGCACGATGTAACAGCTTCCAAGACGGATTTTTGGGAATCTCCTACCCGCGGACATTTGGGACTCTCGTCGTTATGACTGTCCGTCACGTAGACTACTTCTACTTATATCTTTGGCGTTCCAGGCCCAGCCTTTGCGTTGCTGCGTGACCGCCGTACATTTAGCTTGTGGTGGCTCGTGTCTTCAGTCTCAAGCCAGCTGTGTTGATCCTGGTGATGGGGATGGTCGTTGTGTTGCTGCTGCTGATGATGATGATGATGAATGATGCCGTCCTAGCACCTTCACCAACACTACCCCTTCACCGCACCACAACCACGACACACTGAATTCTGAGCAAGACTTACTCCAACCCGGTGCACTCACCATCAGATGCAGCCGCAGTCAAATGACACTCTTTTCTAAGCTCCGTCTTTTTTGCGTAGTGGCGCAGGTCTTATCTGCGATGTGGCCAGAAAGCCGTTTGTTGCAAGTAGGGCACAAGCATGAGCAAGTAATCCGCTCTGTTGCCCGGCTTGTCACAAGGAGGCACCGATCTTGCGACGGTCTGCAGCATAAAAGTCCGCAAACTGCAACTGGCAGCGATCAGCCGTCAGCTGCTGCCCAACCCAACCGCATCAGCTTTCTTCCTTCTTCCCGCCAAAGACAGCTTGCAGGTAGCTTGCCTGACAGCACAGACAAGAGGATCCTCATCTCCCAGCGCTCACAGAAATCGCCTCTGAGAGGAGCCGGTTCTTGTAGGCTGCGAGATCCTCCTGTTTCTTCTCCGCAGCAGCTTCTGGACCTCGACACGCTGCAAGCCGTGGCTTGAGGCCTCACCTTGTCACTACGGGCAACTGGCTTCATGAATGGCTCGTACACGGGTGGAAGTATTACAAGCAAAGAGCACCTAACACAACAGACACACACACACACGCACAACGGGAAGGCTTGCGTCCGGCATCGCAAAGATGCTCCCTTCGAGCCATGAACTCGAGAATCATCAACCATCCGAGCTGCTGCTTCTTCGACTTTCATGCTGACAACCGCGGCGAGGCCACGGCTCCAAGACTTTAAGCCTACAACAAATATTCGGTGACCAGGGCCCGCACTGGTTTCCACAGCTGCCGGCTCTTCACGCGAGATTTCGTCTTCCTCCAGCCACGACAACTGCCATTCGTGCAGTCTCCGGAGTCGGCATGTGTCAAAACATAACCAAAATCCAGTCGTAGTGGTCGCCCCACAGACGTGATTTGATTGGTGTTGGTGTTGTCATTGTTGCTGTCGTCGTTGTTGTGATTGTTGTTGATGCTGCTGTTGCTGCTGCTGTCGCTACTGCCGTGGCTTCTGCTACTTCTGTTGCTTGGTTTCTCCCGCTACGGCTGCTCCTGGTGTTGCTGCTGCTAGTATGCTTGTTGTTGCTGTGGCTGGAGCTTTTGTTGCTGCTGCTGCCGCTGCTGCCAGTGCTGTTGCTGTTGCGGATGTCTCGATCAGAGAACTACTGTTGATGATTGCATTCGTGTGCATTTTACGGTTGAGGCTAGTGCTAGCGAGCAGTGAAGTAGCAATAAAACATCCTGCAGACTGGCAGCGTTCATGCTAACATCAATGCTGATGGTGCGGTTGTCGTCGTCGCTGAGTAGCAGTCGTCGTCGTAGTCGTAGTCGTAGTCGTAGTCGAAGCAGCAGCAGCAGCAGCAGCAGCAGCTGCAGCAGCAGCAGCAGTAGCAGCCGCAGTAGCAGAAGTAGAAGTAGCGCTAGTACTAGTAGAAGCAGTAGTGGCAGTAGTAGTGGCAGTAGTAGTAGTAGTAGTAGTAGTAGCAGCAGCAGCAGTAGTAGCAGTAGTAGCAGCAGTAGTAGTCGTAGTAGCAGCAGTAGCGTATAGTTGTATACGATGAAATTGACAAGTGTTCTCGGTTCCAGGGCGTCAGCGGCTAACTATAAACGACCTATTTCTTGCAAAGCGCGACCTACTGCGTGCGCCTGACCACTCTCCGGGAAGGGGTTGAATGCCGCAGTCGATTGAAGGTCATGATCCTCCTCTCCGAACCTGGCTGCAGCACGGTCTTAGCTCTTTCATGAAACCTGCGAGTCTTGTAGCTGCGATTGTGACTCTCTGCTAACATGACAAGGTAGGAGCATGAACCCTCAGCTGGCCAACAAAACCTAGATGTACTGAAGCATGCTCCTCTTAGGCCCGGGCAGTCCATCTGGCTGGTCCTCCTCCTTCGGCTTGGAGTCCTCACAATCATTGAGGTGACCAGCCAAGGAGGGATGGACAGCCAGAGCCTAGGGTGCGAAGGCAGTGTGGAGACTCCTCGCCGACGATCATCACGCGCTGCTGGATGTCTGGGCGCTGCTGGAAGTCCGGCAGAGGGTGCATCGACATCGGCATCATGCCGGGCATTCCTGGCATGAGACCTGCAGTCTGCGTTCTGATGCAACAACGGTCAGGAAAGGCTCCAAGAAGACGATGCCTGATTTCGTTCAACCGCCTCGCCCACACGGATCGAAACTCTGCATTCTGGCTTGCTCGCAACCGGTCTGGGACGTCGTAAGACAATCAGCACGGTCGGAATTCTCATTACGATCTCGAAACTGCATTCCCCGAGAATCGAGCTGCACGTACTCGAACACTGATGCTACTGATGCACATGGCAGATTGATATTCTGTAATGGTATACGGTACATGTGTAAGCACTTGCACAGCGCCTGCAGCAGCGGTCTTCTGCTGCATCGCCAAGAGACCCTTGCGGCACATTGATCAACCGGACCCGAATATCATCTGGGTGGTTGTCAAAATTATGGTCCCTTTTTGGGTCCTTATTATAATACGGCACCTATTATTTAGGGTACCCCAAAAGGGACCATAATTTTGACAACTACCCATCTGAGCTCCAGTCATCAGCTGCCCACGAACTGCAGGTACTCTGTCGAGTTGCTTGCTGTGTGGGCTATAGTTGCGGCGCCGCTCTCGCGCTCTCACTAGCCCTACGGCACCTGCATGGCGGATTCCTGCGTCATCATGGGCGTCGTCATGGACATAGGCATGGGCTTGGGCGGCCCGTCCTGGTCTGAGTCGAAAGGAACTTCAAACTGTGGAGCTGACAAACAGTACCGACGACTTTACAACGGCCGGTGAGCGAAAAAAATATATATTTAAAAAACGCAACTGCCAGAAAAAGAACCGATCAATGCGTAAACACAGAACGAAGCCGATTACTGTGACACTCGGAAGCACGGCAGCATCTCTCGTGCTTAACGTGCACCATGCACCATCCAACCTGCCTCATAGAACCATCAACTTACCCAACATGAAGGCTGGAGGTAAGCGCTCTGTTAAAGAATGAATCAATCAACCCCTCGATGCAATCTACATGTATCTATCCTATCTGCACAGATTTGCCCGAGCGAGCTTGCTTTTGTGCGTGTGTGTGTGTGTGCTGCTAATCATGCAACGCGGACCTAAACACTGTTGCATGCGGTCTCGAGCCGCGAGTTCGCTATGTGCGCAGTATGTCTGTCTGTGGTTGTCCGTAGCTGTCTCCGTTGTGGTGTGTAAACCCGATGCCGGACGGATCCTCATTACAGAGAAGCCCACGCCTCCGTTATGCGACGGTGCCACAAGGAACCAGTAATCGGACAGGCCCAACAGGGAAGCATCTAGTTCACATGGATCAAACTGCACTTCACTGCAGGAAAACAAAATGAAGGCGAGGAATCTCAAGTGTTATCGCTCGCTGGCTTGGCGCGCGCTTCACCCGTCGCTTTCATCAGAGTGATTCGATGGCACAGCCTTTCAGAGCATGTACTTACTGCTAGTAGCTTGGTTGCGAGTTTCGATTCCTTGGCATCTTCGCAGTCACCCTTTGAAATGCAGGCTGTCACGGCATCAGCTGGTATCCGTCGGTGGTACTTTGTGGGTGAAATCATGCAGCTGCCAGAACCGACAGGAGATGGACCTTGATGGAGTCCTCTGTAATATTTTCCAGGGTCTGACGATGAGCGGTCTATGTCCACGGCTGCTGCGTCAGAACATTGTAAACTCTTCGAACTTGCCATGCCTTCCTGTTGCTGAATGGTATGTCGCAAAGAAGCAAAAGCTGGTGTCCGGGCAGCAAGCAATTTGGGAGCAGCACCAATGCAGGAGTTTATGCAAGTCTTGCTTTCACCACTCGACCGCTTCCCTCCACGAGGACGGGGGACCTGACATGGGAGCTTTTTTTGCTGATGCGATGTGAGTTCAAACAAAAGTCTCGGTCCTGACGTACATTTAGCTGCTCCGCGAACTGCTTGAAGCGAGTACACAAGGCAGCGAGCGGCTGCGCTTTGTCCTGCAGATGTCTCTTCTTGGGTTTTGTGGACGTGGGCGACATCGCAAATCCTAAGACGACTCTCATGCCTAAATGGGCTTAAATGGGCAGCGACGGTAATGAACTGCTCACCTGGGGCAGGTGGTCCAAGTTTCTCTTCAGGAAGTCTTCAGCCTCGAGACAGCTGCAAGCATTGACACAGCACTGCATTTGAGGGAGTTAGGTGGCTCGTCAACGTCGGGCATCTGTGCAGACTGTCGTATGCCTCGTCGTTCGGCGATCTCTGTTAAGCTGCGATACCTTCATCCTGTGGGTAACAACAAACTCCAAAGTATTCCAGAGCCAAGCAGCTCTTTCAACGACATCCTCAACCTCTTTGCCCGACACGCGCAGTTCCTCCTGCGGTCATACTGGACGATTCGGAAACGAAAGGGCTATGTAATATGCAGGGAATGCATACACACACATATATATATATATATATATATATACATACAACTGATTACTATGTAAATATGTGTATATATGCATGCATACGTACATATGCACACAGGTAGAAAGTGACGCCCGCATGCATGTATTTATGTACAGTTTGCATACGTGTGCGTACTATGGCGAAACGTGACATGGTGTAAACGTAGCAGAAAGGTATGTAATGCAATGCAGTGCAGCGAAATAATAACATAATTATGCATGTAATAATATGTCAAACCTAAAGATCATGTGATATGAAATAATTACATATACTCGTGTGACATGAAATAATTACATAATATTACATATACTCGAATAGAGTACATCAAGCAATCCATACGAAAACCACCATGCAACATGACAAAAATTAGGTGTGACCGTATACTGAGACAGAAAGAGAGAGAATGATAAAGACTAGTATGTGAATACGTATGTATGCACGTGATAACACATAATATATGTGCGTTTTCTACCTGGGCCTTGCCCAATGAGGTCTGCGGACACGGCTGACATGGCGGTCACCGTCCCTAAACCCTGAACCCTAAATCGTGACCTGGGCCGTGGTGACAGCATCCGTTGCATCTTTGACCGCTGCTTCCGCAGTTTTGCGGTGCTGTTGAAGGCGCTCCTTGGCCGGCACGTGGGCAGTAACAATGATACTAGTAACAAAAGTAGCAATAACAACGACAATAATAACAACTGTAATGATAAACGTCATGAAGATAATTCGGATACAAACAATATTAGCAACGGCAGTAGTAATCATCATAATATCAAAATCTGTCGCTGTGAGCAAAATACGGATTCCCGTTCCGTTCCCCGGAAGAGACAATGCCAGCCAAGCGTCACTTGACTGCACGGCGAAGCTGTGGCTTTGCATCTGGGGGCAGCTTGAGGGCTCTCTTGTTCGTGCATGCACAGCGCGTGGAAATCGCTGCGGTCTATTTGCGCACCCTTGCCACCGCTTCATCAAGCTCTAATCTCTAATTGCGCGCGAATGGGAAACGGCGGAAACGAGAAGCGGTTTCTCTGCGGCCCGGGGGCTGCCGTGGCCAAACGCTGCTGTGCCTGTGCGGCAAAGTGGGGCCTCAGCAAATGGCGAGTATGAACCCTGAACGCTAGAATGCAAAATCTAAACTGCAACAGCTGGAGGGGGGCAGAAGGAACGCAGATTCTGGGATCGAGACCGTAGGATCCGGGTCCGGACATTGAGAAAAACTCAGGCAACCAGAAACTGACAACACGGCTTGATGTACCTAGCACACACAAGGCCGTGTGTGCATGTTTAGCCTCATACAAGAACACGTTGTACAATACAATGGCCTTTGATTCAAATTGAATCTGAAAATTTCGTATCAAGTGCTCAAGGAAATTAATTAAAAGCGGCCAATGTGCACATCATATGTACGTACAACGCACATATAAGTATCTGCTGTTTTCACTTACCTATGCACATGTACATACGTACAAGTAGACAGGAAGACGTCCGCAGGCATGATCGTGCAAATGTTTCCCCTTCTTTGCTTTGCTCTTTGCTTTGCTTGAGGGCTAGGAGAGCAGGCCGGGCAGTCCCCTTTCTCTGTCTCCCTTGCTTGCTTTCTCTCTCTCCCTCTAGCCAAGGGAGCAGAACCCCCCCCCCCCCTTGCGCAGGAATGCGCCCTGGTTGCCGTTGCCTTTGGTTGCGAAAAAGCACTGGATGAGGTGAGCCAGCTCACCACTGTCAAATCCCCACACCCATGAACCAACACCATAGCTACCCCCCCGGCCTCATCTCACCCTTGGGCGCTGACCAGCGTTGCCCAGACTCGCTGCTTATTGCAACATGACAACTCGCTCCGGCACCATTCGTCTAAAGTAGCAGAAAGCATAGCACAGGACACTAGACTATGTTAGGTTCCCCCGGAGTCTGCTGGCTGCACCATGCTGCACCATCTCCCTCTCCCTCCCCCTCTCCCTCCCCCTCCCTCTCGCTATCTCGTTTCTTTCGCCAGGGCTATGATGCAGGAGGGAAGCCCCCCTCGCTATCTCTCTCTCTCTCTTTTTTCTTTCTTTCTTTCTGCGGGGCGTAGGGGTCGATCACTCGACCCTCAGGCCTTTGGCCCGCCCCACCCACCCCCTGTGTTAGTGAGTGGATGGCATTGGGGTTTCAATGACTGATGCATAAAAGGACGCAGTATGCCCCCTGTCTCTACTCATAAGCCCACGACCCTTTACACTAACACCCCCAATTCTCTCTCTCTCTCTCTCTCTTTGTCTCTCTCTCCCGGGCATAGGGGCCTGTCAAAGCCCACGGGCATCATGCCCACCCGATGTTTTATTGGGAAGAGAGGAGTGAACAGCGAACATAGATCATCATAAGGCCAAAACCATCTCTCTCTATCTCTCCATCTCCCTCTCTTTTTCCATGTCTTTCTTTCTGCAGGGCTTTGGGGTCGACATGCAGACTCAAACAAAATCGGTTTGCACGATGCATGTGTATATTTCGATACTTCGTACTGTAGATTACATATACGTATGACTTGTGTCGCTATATATTAGTATATCCGCCGACCCCGCTGGGGCGGCGACCAGAAGTTAGATGTGGTTTTGCATGCCCTACGCAACCGCACTCAACTGCATTCGGC